CACATTCAGAACACCTTTGGTTTCCGATGGATTACCACCAAAGTCTTTGAGCACCATATTTGTCTTGATGAGATCCTCGGCGTTCCTACCCAACTTCCTGAACGTAGCATAAGGCATCAAATTTACCGCGACCCCACCATCGACCATCATCTTAGACATCGGCTTCCCATTGACATAGCCGTTTATATACAATGGTTTAAGATGCCGATTCTCTGTCCCCTCGTGTTTATCAAAAACTGCCCGTTCTGGTGACAGAACCAACTTAGCCGATTCCTCTTCCACTTCATCGACATCGGCCTGATCTATCCCGAATTCAGCTGGCAATGTAAAGACCATGTTAATTGGTGCCGCTACAACACTCTTTCCTTTTGCCAACCTCTTCGCCTCATCGGCTGCAGCATCATCAGCTACAGGAACCAGATTCTTAACATGCCACTCCTGTCTTGTTTTTGTTTCCGCAGCCGATGATTGATTTCTTGTTCAACCTCCTAAAGGCGCTCCCTGTTCCTCAATCTTTGGACCCTTCTCTTCTGATTTTTTGTGAAAATACCAGAAGGACACCATTGATTCTTCCTGATTGCCTCATCTTCTTGGCCACGATCCTGATTCACCGAACCCAGTCTTTGATGAACAGAAAGTCTCGCCTGCCTCGGCCGATTGCCCCTACTATATGGCCGGCTCGAGCTCTCGATGATTTCACTGCACCTAGGGCAATTTTCGATAGATAGCAACCTCATCCCTTCATTCCAGCAGAATCTAAAGAACTCGCAACCCCAATGAGGATCGAAACCATCATCGTATTTTTTGTAACGCTTCTCCTGCTGCTTGTCATACTTTCTCTGATATTTGTTGATAATCTTAGCCGAATTTACTTGAAAACCCTTTGCACGGACCCCATCGGCTGCTTGACCAGCTTACTATCGACCTTCGTCAGCTTTTTGGAATCATCAAACCTAATCTTGCCCCCCTCAATGGCAACCTGAATTTGCTGTCTAAAAACCTTGCAATCGTTAGTAGAATGAGATCCAGAATAATGCCATTTGCAATATCCCTTCTTGCCTAATTCCTCAGGCGATGGGATTGTATGACCAGCAGGAAGCTGAATTTGCTTTTCTTGGAGTAGTAAATCAAAGATCTTGTCAGCTTTGGTAATGTCAAAGTCATACTTTTCCTCTTTTCCAGGACTTTTTACCCATTGGCATGGTATGACCTTCTTGCTCCTCACCCATTCGGCTGCAGCTATTTCAGAATCATCTTCTTCGTCATCCGACCCATACATGTATGGACAAACATGATTAACTTTCTTAAAGCTTTTCCTGACTTCCCCGACCTATGCTCATGCAAGGTTACCTTCTGTATCAGATGCGATAAGCTATCAAAGTCTTCGGACGAGAATTTCTCCCTGATAGGAGGAATCATACCCTGGAAGGCCAAATCGGCTAACTGAGCATCAGTCAAACTCAAGCTAAAGCATTTGTTCCTCATCTCCCTGAACCTCTGAATATACTCGTGCACGGGTTCATCATGCCACTACTTAATCGCCGTCAAGTCGGACAACTTCATCTCATAAACCTCACTGTAGAAATAGCTGTGGAATTGCTTCTCCAAATCGGCCCAACTATTGATCGACCCATATGGCAAGGAGGAAAACCAAGTAAAAGCTGATCCAGACAGAGATAACCGGAATAACCTAACTTTTAGAGCGTCTATAGCCGATGCTTCACCACACTGAGCAAGGAATCGGCTGATGTGCTCATAAGTCGACACGCCGTCTTGTCCCGAAAACTTGGAGAAATCTGGAACTTTAAACCGATTGGGAAGAGGGACTCTTTCAAACCACTCAGGATAAGGCTGTCGATACAAGCTTCCAGTCTCTTTTGGATTAAGCCCAAACTGTTCTCTCATTACATCGGCAATCACATCGGCCCACGGTCGTTGCTGAGCTGCTCCTTGTGGCTGTTGTTGCATGGGCTCAAACTGACCATACTGAGATGCGAACTGGGGCTGAGCCGATCCCCCTGGCTGATATTGGGCTTGCGGGGAAGGAGGCTGATATTGATAACTCAAGTTACCCCCTTGGTAATTATGAAGATTTGGCTGGATATTGCGCACCAAGTGCTCAGGAATCATCTGAGGCATCACTGTGCCATCCGGCTGTGCATGGTGAACCAAATGCTCTGGGATGACCTGATTTACAAACTGCTGTACAGGCTGACCACCAGGTACTGCTAACCCGGCCGATGCATTTACTGACCCCGGGTGCTAAATCGGCTGAACGATCTGCTGCCTCAACGGAGTCTGTTGGATCGGCTGCAGGGGCTGCTGCCTTGGTGGTGTATGCTGAATCGGTTGCAGAGGCTGCTGCCTTGGTGGTGTTTGCTGAGCTGGTTGTACGACCTGTTGTTGGATTGGTTGTACAACCGGCTGGATTGGGGGTGCCTGCTGAATCGGCTGTTGCTGTACTGGATCGACAACAGGTGGAGGTGGCAGAAACATGGCAGCAACTTGATCTTGAGTTAGCCGATTCGCAGCCTGCCCGCCATGCTGTGGCTATTCCCTTGTTAACAACCGAGGGTTCACCGGCTGTCCCGGCGTCATAGCTAGTGTAGCAGGTAAAGGACTCGACGCTGGCGCCGTCGGCTGAGTTGTGGGTGCAATAGAGGGAACTGCTTGAACAGATGGCTAAACATCGGTGATCAAAGATCGATAATTTGGGAAGACACCAACTGGGCCAGCAGCCTGATGCTCAGCTATCGAACCATCGGCTATTGTCTTCATCATGTTTGACAAGGTATTGACTAATACCCTGGACTGATGATCAACCCGGCTATTGCCTGATGATCAAAGCATGATGCACAGCATAATCAACCCGATCTTGGAAGTTATTGAAAAAATCTTGTGCTACTTCACTATTCTGATTAAGATTTCCTCCTTGTGGCTCCTGAGCACCATCACCTTGAACGCCATGAACTCCTTGAGAATTGTCGCCTTGATCGCTCGGAGAGCCGTCGGTAACACCTTTAGAACTCGGCTGAGCTGAGCCGCCAGGAGCTTGTTTCACTTCTCCATCTTTAGAAGAACCGGTCCCAGGACTATCAGGAACCACTTTTATTTTATACTTCTAAACAAGTGTCCCCTTGCGGGTCTGCATGAATGAGTTCAGGAACTGATCCCATGCATGCTGCAACGTTGCTTCAAACTCTTCCTTCTGCTCAGGCGTGAACTTCTCTGGATCAATCGGCATGACGTTTTCTTCAATGATGTCAGTCAATCCCAACACCTTGCCATTAACGGAACCTGGGCTAGATGGTGGTGGTTGTTTCTCGGCCATGAGGAAGAACTGACGTCTGACTTCTTACAGGTCCCACCGGGCGTGCCAAAAGCGTGTTGACAGAAAACACGTGGCCTGGGAGATCTGCTTAACTCCAGTGCAGGTCCAAAGCTTGCCTTCAGGTATGTTAGCGTGCCAGTTGATTTGATCCTGTAATCATTAAGAAATACAAGCAAAGAAACCGTGGTTAAATCTATAAATGATAGCCGATTGGCTAGATGCCGATGACATATCATTTATCTTTGAGCCGATGTTACCTGTGTATCGATCGGCGGTCATGAATAAGTAAAGAAGAACTAAATCTACTCGATCGGCTGTGGACATTAACGATATATACTCCTTATATGGATATATACTTAAACCAAGTGATTGGGATAGATCGGTCACCATGCCGAGACAGTATAAATCACTTAGATTGAAATATATATCAATAACAGGACTATATATGTTTATAGCATAGCCGATCAGATAGATCTAGCGTGTATCGGCTAATACTCCGATACTACTCTATATCAGGATATTAAGGTAAGTATAATATGTCAAACAAAGGCCTAACATGCTTAGATATAGCAATATCTTGATATAAAGGACAGTTTAACATGTCAATGAAGCATATAGAACAAATGTAGTTAAATCAGATAAGATCGGCTGAAACTCCGATGCTATTCTAATCGGCAACTAGAAGGCAGGCTAGAGATCGATATTCTAAGCACGACTTGATAGATCAAACTTAAATGATACAACATTAAGTATGAAAAGAAAAACGATATCTAGACAATCAAGCCGCTAGAAATTTCATAGGGTGGTAGATATCTTATATAATCTAGATCAACGTCAAAATCTAACCTAATCGGTTGCCCTCTGCTAACAGATGTTAGCCGATAGTAGGTTAGATATCAATATTGCCCAAGATTATGTAAGATATATGATAACTCGACGAATTACATAAACGAGATTAGAGTATCATAAAGATGGAAACACTAATCTTGAGAACACAATCCGTCATAACAAGTTTTACCTCTTGTTGAATATCGAAACCGATGCAGCTCAACCCGAAAGCAAGAACTTGTCGAAACAAAACTAAAGCAAAAGAGTGGCGATGCGCTGAAGTTGTATTGAACGTGTGTGTTGTTAATTACATAGGGCTCGGGGTCTATTTATACCCGAGAATTACAAGATATGCCCACACCGGACACGACTATTATCTCTAACAAACTCTAAGATACCATAAGTCTTTGCGACAGACTTTTGCCCACATTTATCTATAAGGAATTTACATAAAAATATCCTAATTAATAGATACAATTGCCTTCCCAGGACTCTATCCGTGCGTGGCAATCATCTTGAAGTACATTAACTTGAACCCGATGTCGCGTACAAGTCGTATTGTCGGAATCAGCTGTATCGGCTTACTCAGCCCGACTCAGACCTAGCCGATTCTAATCATAGCCGATCTGGACTCCAGCCGATTCCTGCTCTATTTCCGAACTTGATCTCTGCCTCTAACTTTGCTTTGATCCAACCTTCTTTCCTGACACAGATGTTACCAAATTTGGTTGTTAACAGGTGGATGGCAGAACACGAAAACTGTATCAAAGCTATAAAGACTGTGTCTTCTTTGACACAACCTTTATGACTAACCGTTACAACATGCCATTTGCACCCATTGTTGGAATTAATAACCACCTGCAAACAATATTGCTTGGATATGCTTTGATTTGTGATGAAACAACTGAAACATTCATATGGGTCTTTGAAACATGGATGCGAGCAATGAATGGACAGATGTCAGGTTCAGTGATGATAGACCGAGATAAAGCAATGAGAGCAATGATTAAAAAGGTGTTCCCCGGTACAATTCATAGATGTTGCTTTTGGCACGTGACAACAAAAGCAGATCAGCAACTCCTACCCGTGTATACTTCAAAGAAAGGCTTCCTTGAAGCTCTGTGTAGATGCATATATGATTGAAACAATAGATCAGCTTCTATCATATTTGAAAAAAATGCTAGATGAATATGACCTCCATGGAAACCAAACTTTGAATAACTTGTGGGAAGCAAAAGAAATGTGGGCTCCGGTATACTTTAACACAAGTTTTTTCCCTTTTACTTGGATGACAGGGAGATCGGAAGGTCTAAAAGGGCTATTGTGGGGACACCCGATAAAGTCATGGTGCCCCACGAATAAGTAACTGCCCAGGATGTTCAGTTACGCATGAAATGATATAAAAGCATAACCTTCGATTATACAATACTTAAGTCACTTAGTTCACAACACAACATAAATACAAACCATTACATATATGGCCTATAAAGCTTTATTTCTACAAACAAATAAACTGCTAGACTTCACCACAGGAACTGCCTAAGCATATGATGACCTAGAAACCATAGCTGTCCCACTCTAACAGATCAACAGGTTCTCCACAAGCATCTTCCTCCTCATGATCTGATCCCATTTATGAGTACAAAAGGTACTCAGCAAGACATGCTTATGATAATAAATACAATAATTGCAATATAAAACTTGCAGTATCGAGAGCTGGAAGGTTTAAACCCTAACCTTAACAGTTATTTCATAGAGCCTAACTTAATAAACATTTGATATAAACAACACTATTGAACATTTAATTTAAACAATAATAATGAGCATAAAAGTATAAATGTTACTTATAAATAACTTGAATAGAACATAAAGTAATATAAATAAGTTAACTATATTAATTAATAGCCATTTAGTTTAACTTGTGCCCATAATCTGGAATCACCCATAGACACATCTCCATTAACCGGGAGCACGGCATATTTGAATACTCAACGACTCTGTAGCGTCTGCGCAGCTTGACCCACATGATACCCACAGCTGGCCGGGCTGAAAAGTAACAAGGTGTAATATTGCTACATATATCTCTCCCTTCTGCCTAGTAAGTTAAAGGATGCTCGGGATGTTGCTCGGAGTGATCCGGTCCGAGGTGTGTGCCAACCTACCTCCGCATCCACTTACCATTGTTCGTTACTCGATGGGCAGCCCAGAACTTCGTGGACCCATAGGGTAGTTTTGAACTCTCGGGGCCCATCGAGCCCACATATATAAATCATATAAACATGAACCATGTCACTTTGCTTCACACACTTGAAAGCTAATGGCCAGTACACCGAAAGGCCTGTAGAAGTTCAATCAATTGGAGCAATATACGGCTAGGTTTGACAAATCGATCGTGTGGATGGGCGAAACTATGTCATTCTTATTGACACAAGGGGGTTGATTATTATATCAATTTTAAATAAGAAATAACCATAAATATATCCACATATCCATCACGACCATAAACAGGTCCATGAAACCAAACACATGAACTCTATCATGTGTACCACCCGCTCACAAGCGGTGTCAACAGTTCTTAGCATATAGCCATAAATAGTTCCATAAGCATGTTTTCATATGCAGTAATAATATCCATATTAAATAGATAGCATGTTAAATAATTAACAGTTTGTTTAAATGTTTCTCAAATTTTATCCTAAGTTGGTTAGACTCTAAGGCTCATTAAGGCGTCCATAACAACATAAAATATAATGCAATAATAGCAATATAATTAATTTAAAAGAATTCGCTCAATCTATCGTACTCCAAAGGACAAGTACACTACTAAAATAGCTCCCTATCTACTAGGATTAAATTGTTCAAAGGAGGGTGCATGTCTTGCAACCTTCGGGTTCGATGTAGTCGTACAAACCGTCTCCTCCTGGCGCGGAGATTTCACTCGCTTCGACTACCGAACCAACGTCAGCGTTTTCTATTTACGCAACAATCATCACTACAATAAATAATAGAAAAACAAAGATAACCAAAACAAATAGTATCACAAAGTGCAACAATGGGTGGAAAGGATTTAAGGAAATAATTTTAGGGATTTTTGGAATTTCGGTGAACGGCGAACCCTATGGCTAAAATTAGGGTTGCTACAACGGGTGCTCGGATTGCAACAAAACTGACACGGATGGATTCGGAATAATTCTAGGAGTTTGGAATAGGTCTTGAATTTCGATTTTGAGGTCAAACGGATGGTCAACTTGATAGGAAAAGAAAAAGGGTATTTTCTGATTTATTTTTCAACAGGAAAATCAGATTTTCTGTTCTTCTCGTTCTCTGCACAGGAACTGGCCGGAATCCCACATTGCTGGCAGCCGAGGAGGCCGGTTTTCGGTAAGGGGGCACCGGTTTTGTGATCTAGAGGTCGAGGCGATTCCGTTTTTGTGGTCGGCAGCGAGAGAAGCACCGGTGGCGAGGCTGGCGGCGGCAGGCAGTAATAGGAGGTGGAGGCGGCCATGGCGGCGGCGACTCCGGCGAACTCCGGGGAGGGCGGTGGCTTGATGAGGTTCACTGAGGCGAGAGGAGTCCCAGGGTGGCGACGGCCAAAGCTAGGGCGCCCTGGAGCGGCGGCGCGCCATGCGGCTGGCGGCGGCCGAACAGAGCAGCGACGCCGGGAGGCGGTGCCGGCAACGTTCCAGCGATGGATTGGATGGGTAAAGAGAGGGGAATGGGAGTACTCGGCATGGAGAATCCGATTTTACCTTCGATTTCAGAGGATTGACGATGTATGCGACGAATTTTGAAGTTCAATCAATGGTGCCGGTATTAGGGTTTCTGGGAATTTTCCTCCGCTGACGACGATTGAGTTAGTTGGAGTAGGGGCAGACTTGAGAAGGTGAAAGAGGTCGAAATTGCGGTTCTTTCGCCTCCATTCTTCAGCCTTCTAGTTGAGGAACGAAGGAGTTACGGAAGCGGGAAGCTGGAGGTGTCGTCCAGGCATTCGTTCGTCGTTCGTCCTCGTGTGCGCACGTGCGGGCGTGTGGCGTGCGCGGGTCGGCACGAGCTTGGCGCGAGCATGGTGAGGGATCGGCGCAAGGCAACACGGGCGCTGGCTCGGCCTGGGTTGGTCTAGCCAAGTAGAGAAAGAAAGAAAAGGAAAAACAGAGAGAGGAAGAAGAAAGAGAAAAAACAGAGAAAGGGAAGGAGGGGGAAGAAAAACAGAGAAAGGAAAAAAATATAGAAAAGGAAAATTAGGGTGGAAATAGAGAAAAGAAAAATGTGGGGAAGATTAAAATAGATAGGATTTGAATTGGTGTGGAATTTAGACAGTCCGACATTCGGGATAGAATTAAATCGGATTCAAAGGAATTGTTTGAGGGATGATATGCACTTTGTGACAAAAAATTAAACGAGAAAAGAAACACCGGAAACAAACTTGGAAAATAAAATTTTAAATAAATGTCTAACTCGACGGTTATATTTTTAGAGAATCAAAGCAAACTAAATCGGTTTTAAAAAGTTGTCAAATTTTAGGGCTGTTACAGCTATTCAAATTATTTGTACACCCGCAAGATTCGGTGTGGATCTTTGTCAAAAAATATGAGCACATAATTGAGACAAGGCTTGACAGAGAGGACAGGGAGGGCTACAGAGCAGAGACAACAGAACCTAGAATGTATTCAAGGTAATGTGATCTGCTGTCTTGAAACAATTTGAAAAAGATGTGCTTTCTGTTTGTAATTCGAAAAATTGATGAAACAAATAATATCTATACTGTGCAACATAAACTGTGCAAGTGTGGAACAATTGACATTAATGGGTTGAAACATTGAATTATGCAGGTCACTGATTGAGAAACAAGCATCGCAGTTTTACACTACAAGTATGTTTGCAGACAAATTCCAGTATGAAATATATGAAGCAACAGGGCTGGATGCAGAAAAAACACAAGAAGTACCCAACATCATGTATAATGTTATGCCAAGTGACAGAGAAAGAACAGGTAAAAAATATATGGTCACATTTGATGCAACACACTCAACATACTCCTGCTCGTGCCACAAATTTGAAAGAGATGGACTTCTTTGCTCACACATCTTGAGGGTGATGGCTGTCCTTAACATCCATGAGATACCGAGTAAGTACTTGCTGAAACGGTGGTCAGAGCAAGCGACATTGCAAAAATGTGATGAGTACAATGGTCCAGCACCATCAATTGGAGTCCTGGCAACAAGCAAGCTAAGGTTCAACGCGTTATGCAGGGCGACGACAAGCCTTGCTTCAGATGCATGTATTAATGAGGAAAAATACTTGATTGTTTCGGCTGGGATTCAGAACCTACAAACAATGGTTGCAACACCACACACTGTTGAGACACAACATCAGCAAGGTATTTTGCCTAGTCAACAAGCCCCATCAAGTTCAGCTAAGAATCCACCAACAAAGAAAAGAACAGGGAGGCCAGCAGAAAAAACTCACAGGATGAAGCCAATAGGGGAACAAATAACTGAAAGCAGCAAGAAGAGGAGGACAAAAAAGAAGAGCTCATGCTCATATTGCTTTGATGAGACACACAATGTTTCAATATGCCAGTATCTCAAGATAGCGAACATGCGAGACGCTCTACTAAACCAAAAAATGGTGCAAGAGACGGAGTTGACAATCTGAGAAAAGAGTTCCAGGAGCTGTAGATTTAGATGCGATGCACTATACTTTTAGAAAATATAGTGGTAATTGCCATATTACAATATGAAACTATCTTGTGTTAGGTGAAACACATTATGTTGTGAGATGCAATAGACATATTTTCTTTTAATTCACATATGGGTAGAATGTTGGATGATTATGTGAAATGAGTCTTTCTTATGATTTATGTGAATGATTGTTTAGTGGAACGAAGGGAATGCCAAAAAAGAAAATTACATCTCTGCACTACTGATTACAGTGGAAAAAGAATATGTAGAGCTTGTGAAACATTCATGAAGTGTAGGGTGAGACAACTGTATAACAGTAGGTGAAACATTTGCTTTTATGGAACAAAACATGTGGAGCTGTCAAACAACATTAAGAACAGGCTATAACAATTATGTAACAGTAAGTGAAACATTGCTTCTTATGAAACAGAACATCTAGAACTATGAAACAATCATTGATAACAAGCTGAAACATATAAGTACTAGAAGGTGAAACATTGTTTTACTCTGAAAAAGAACATTTGAACTATGAAACAATCATTCAGAACAGGCTGAAACAAATATCTCACAGTAGATGCAACATTATATAAAGAGTAGTAGTTCAACTTGATAGCGTAACATCAGTGCACAAACAAAAAACAGAAAAACACAGCATACTTCAGTGCACAAATTCAATCCTAACAAAAGAACAGAAAAAGCACAACTTCAGTGACACAACTGCCCCCAACACTAATTTGCTTGAAGTTGATCATGGTCAACTTTAGCCAGATGCGAAGAAACCATCATGTGTGTCATGAATTTTTGGTAGTTAGGCATGTCCCCTTCATTGAATGATTGCAGGTTTTTCCCATCCCAATTCTCAATGTATCTCAAGCTGAAGAAACCGCAATCAAACCTAGTGCATGGAAAAGCAAGTGATAAATTAAAATGACACACTTGTGCACAAAAAAAAAGAAAAAAGAAACAAAAATTTGTAAATAAAACATACAAATTGCTTTGTACTGGATACTGTGGAGGAGAGCAAGTTTGAAACTTTGATATATCTTTGATTGGAATTTTAGCATCCACTGCAACCTTGGTGAAATTTGTGACCTGCACGGCACATCGGCATTGGGAAAAAAAAGAACTTAAAACTCAATGAAACAATAAAAAAATTATAATGGAACACATGGTGTTCCCGTGAACATCTTACCAGGTTCTGAGACAGTATGAACCACTGAGAAATATCACCCCTCTTGATTGAATCAAAGTAATTTATTTGTTCCCACAAAAGGTTGATGCAAGTCAGCACCCAATGCTTGTCACGTACAATTGGGAAGAACAACTTGATGGGGTGGGAGGCAAAAAAAAAGTAACTTATGTTAAATGAGAACTGGAACAAGGAACAGTTATGGATGAAACAATATGTTAGAATATGGTGAAACTAACTATTGAAACAAATAAATGATCATTGGAACATAGAGTTAAAAATAGCTGAAACACTGTATTGGTATGTTGTGAAATATATCAGCAGACTAACCAAAACATGAAAAAAATCAGAGGGATGGGAGAACTAGTACCAGATCTAGTTTAGGAAGTTTTTGCTCCTTGTTGATTGATTTCACCCATTTTACACAGCTTTCAGACACAAACTTCTCGGAATTGCAAATCAATTTATCCTAGGAAAAAAAGGGAACAAGTGAATTAAAAGCAAAAAAAACAAAAACAAAACAGATGTAATAAAAGGGAGGGGGTGGTTAAAACATGTTACCGTCAAGCCAGGGGGGAAAACAAAATTTTTTATGCTTGATTTCATCTTAGAATCTTCCCTGCAGTTTGCATTGAACATCTCAATCCAACACGACGTAACTTCGTTGTTCAACTCTCCTCTAGGTTTCATTGCTTCACGGAAATACTCAAGTGAGACATGGAATCCTCCAATCCTTAAGAATGGAGTTGGCCTGTTTTTCCAAAAAAAAAAGGTTGGGAAAAAATTCAGATAAAGCTGTTCTGAAACAAATGTGTTGCGTTTAGTGAGATATGTCATAGTGACTGATGAAACAACAGGGGAAACTACACTGAAACATATTAATAATAAAAAGGTTGAAACATATTTTGCGCAAAAAGAAAAGTGTGAAAACACTTACAACTCTTTGGCATCTACCTTCCTTGACCTGTTTGGCACATAATCAATGACAAATCTTCAACTTCTTCGTCTCTACATCACAATCACCTTTCCGCGCCATTTTCTTCCTATTTTTCTTCTCATGCATGCTTGGACCACTACTACCAGTACCTACTATAGAGGAAAAAACATTAGGGAGGGGGAGGAGTGTTGTTCATAGTTACTTTAACCACACCGAAAAAAATGTGAGAGGGAGAGAAGGAACAAAAAAGTGGTGATTTTACCTAGAGGTGGCGAGCCCTTAGCACGTGGCGGTGAAGATGTAGCTGGGGATGTTTCCCTTACTGCTGCTAGAGAGAGTACTACTGAAGTTCATGTTTTTGTTGCAGTGGGTGAAGGGGGGGCTGGAGAAGGTGTCTTTGCAGTGGGTATCCTTGCAGAAACAGGTGACTGAGGTGATGGAGAAGGTGTCCTTGCATCCATTGCCGACTGAGGAACATTTAAAACACGCAAGGAGAGCATCTCAGCAGCCAAGTCCTGAGTTCTAATGAATTCAGGATCAGATTCATTGAAGAGGCTGAATGACGGTGCATCACATGCATAATCTAGATTTGAGATATCAGAGCGGTAAGCCAAAATATAATCATCAACAGCTGGGCTGCTTGGCACATAACCACCTGAAGCTTCCTTGCTTGGTCCATCAACATCTGTAGCCTCAGCTGCCCCCTCAGTGTTTGATGGTTTTGAAACGGCCTCAGCTGCCCCCCTCAGTGCTTGGTGGGTTTGAAACAGCCTCGGAAATGCACACTGCAGTGTTGCTATCAGCTAGCACCTTGCTTATGTCAGAAATCATATCACATGTTCTTTTTGCATGCAAATCAATCATGTCCCTCTTGAAGTTGTCATATGCTGAAACAAACTCATCCTGCCACATGGTACTGTGCTTCTCAATAATATATTTTAAGCTTGTTGGAAACTGAGACAAAATGAAACAAAGAGAGGAACAAGTTAGATTCAAGTTAGAAACAAAAAAAAGAAAAAAAAAGGCAAAAATGTAGATAAAAGAGAGGGTCAGTGAAAAAGTGAAGAAAATTTTTACCGTAGTCCCTTGGCTGCTTGAGGCAGATAGCGTGATCCATTCATTCAATGAAGCAAAA